CGTTAGAGACCCAATTGAACTATTTATTGGTCTAAGAGGAACTACCGTGTCTGCTTCTATTGTAAAGTGATCATTTTAACAGATAATGAGTACAAAAAACTGAGACCATTTGATTCCTACCTGGCGGCGTTTTACGGTTTGCGAAAGATACACAAGGTTCCTTTAGTTGTGCGATGGTGGAAAAGACATGTAGATGATAGCAAGCCTGTGTAAAACAATCGGACATTTCAATATTTCACAATCATCTAAATACTATCAACCCACATATACAATTTACTCTTGAAATGCCTGTTGTTACAGAGAATCAGCAAACCATAGCGTTCCTGGATACCGAAATTATAACCACAACATCTGGTGATGTTAATGTTAGTGTATATCAAAAAAGTTCTTACAAGGACAAATATTTGTTATATAATTCACATAGCCATGTGAATGACAAGAAAGCTGTAGTTAAAACATTATTAGATCGCGCAAAAACTATCCCAACGAATTCCGTATTGCAAGCCCAAGAGACTGAAAATGTGATTGAAACATTAAAATTAAATGGCTATCAAAAGCGTTTCATAGAGAAAGTTGTTGCGAACAACCATCAGACTAACACAAATGCTGGGTATGAAATTCGTGGATCGACATGCCTTCCTTATGTTAACGGAGTTTCAGAAAAAGTAAAAAGTATTTTAACCAATGCAGGAGTTCGGGTCGCCTTAAAACCAGTACTAACTTTAGGGAATATTTTTCGCAAGCCCAAAGCAAGACCGTCAGAAGACAGAACGAAAGCTATTGTATACAAATACAAATGCAGAGAATGTCCATTTACATATATCGGTGAATCAAAGAGATGTTGGGCGACAAGGTGGTTAGAACACAAACCGGGAGTTAGAAAGAAAATTTTTTCGACAATAAAGGAACACGCTGAATGCACTGGTCACAACGCTGCAAAATCAGACGCTGTAATATTAGAAAAGGGAGTTAAGAACTACGAACAAAGGATTTTCTTAGAGGCTTTACATTCCACTCTTAGTGAAAACACGGCTAATGAACATACTGAATTTCCGGCTTGTTATTCTATATTAGCAGATGAAATCAAGCGAAACAACAAACATTATAAATAGAGGTGTAATGACTCTTGCCATATACTCTGAGGAAGGCTTGCAATTTGCAGCCGAAAATTTAGTTTTTAATTTTACTAGTTTTTATTTTAAATAAAATGTTTTTAACTAGATCAGCTACAAACCTTAGAAAAGTTATCATATAACAAACTAAGTTAATCTCAAATATAAACCCACACCAAGTAAAGCATTTTAATACGTTCGTATTATTTCTGTATTTTGTTTACATCATGTTCTCTGAGATTTATAAACAGGTTTTTTTGTCTACCCAATCGCATCACTTCATGTGACTGCTAATTATAACTAACCAATCATATGCTTGGTACAAAATTGGACCAAAGGAAGAGAGATTTGTATCGCGTGCCACCAGAGGTTCTTTTCGCCTCGCGTAAAATAAATATACGAGCGGGAATAAGGCGAAAGATACAGAACCTCTGGCAACCAGGGTAGAAATTTAATGGCAAAATATCAAATAACTAAGATTCCTAGCAACAAAAGGTGGTAATATCCAGGGGGGTCGCTGGCCCTGTTTTAATGAAGGAGTGTAAGTGCAATTTGGCTAACTCATTTCAAACACTATTTCTTTTCCAAAAATGTTGAAGAGCCGGGGGGGAGAAGGGGTTACAAAAAAATTTTCAAGCCATTATTTTTTTCTTTTTCCTTCACGTTAATTTAACCAACTGTCACTCGGTAATCTTTTCTTTATATTTTCGTAAATTTTCCAATTTTTGCCATAAATATTAGATTTTAGTCAGTGTAAATCATATTTTAAGTTTTTTTCCTTCTTGTCCGATTCCATTTTTGCCAACTACAAAAGCAATTTCCCGACTGGAACTCAGTAACTTGCCAAATGTCTAGCGATTGGGGCGTGTTATCCCCAACCTCTCTCTAGCGACGCGCCTGGTAAATGTTGCCACAAATTGTGTCTGCCACTGGTCCAGCATGTTCTAATTACTAATTACTAAATGATATATGACCCATAATATGTCTTCATCTCATGATATTATGTGATTGTCACTTGCCCATCTTTTAGTGAGATCATCAATAGTGAGGTGGGGGGGGGGGGACTTGTTGGTCTTACTGTACGTGAGGAATTAAGGAATTCAGATGCGAATGAGGACAAGATGAGCTTATTAATGCACATGTCATGGCTTATATCCCTGGGGCGGAACCCTGGTTTACATACTGTAACTGTACTGTTAATTAATGTAGGGACTTGCACAACTTTCATGAAGAGCTATATGTGGTCCAGGGAGAATTAAACCAGGGAATTTTCATCATCATTGAGGCAATTCCAAAATGTGGCCAGTGGTTTATTGTTTATTCTTCAGACATGGTATTTGCGCTGTTGTGTTGGAGTTGACAAAAAACAATGTGATTTGTGATATCGATATTCTCTTTGCAGTTCTATTAAAACTTTCTTTAATGTTCAAAAATTCTATTGGTATTATTGCTTTTAGATCATAGGCAGCTCAGAAAATGATTTATTGTGTACCTCATTAGGTTATATACATATATTGATGAAACCATGAAACCAAAATTAAGAATTGGTCTCTGGGTGGAAGGAAAAAGGTGTAAGATTCACTAACGTTTTAGCCACGAGGGGAAGTTTATTAAAAATTTGGACTTAATTAGACATGAGGATTATTTATGACTTGAGCTTATATATAAACCATAACACTTTCATAGAGGTTTTATGGTATGATAGAGTATTTTTTAAACAGCATGATATGTTTGAAGCTTGTATTTTCCGAAGGAATTCCCACCAGTATTATAGAACCACACAGTTGTTAAATACTTGTGCAGTAAATGATTGAATCAAAGTAAAGTAAAGAAAATACAAGATTTCAAATTCTATACCTCAAGGTATACCTTTTGGGATTAAAACATTGATTAACATAATTTCATGCATATAAATAATACTTGTTCTTTATATAAATATTCACTTGTAAGAATGAGTATTAATAAAGATCCGCATGTTTGAAAATTACACAAATTTTCACTAAGTGAGTTGTTCTTGCGTGTACCAGCAACACGAAATAAACACGCAACTAGACCCAGTTCTCTCGCGGTTACCTACCTCTCGTCCACCCATTTAGCCATAACCTCAGTTGCAGGTTGTATAAAACTAGTCGCACATAAGTAACTACTATTGTTGCAGTTGTAATAGTGTTCATAATTAGCATATTATAGAGACTGGCATGTCCAGCTGGTATGAACCACAACTTTGGATTGGATGCCATGATATGGTTGAACGTTGCAAAGCTTGCGAGAGTACATGACAGTACTCCGGATTAAAACTGACTTTTATTAAGCTTTCAACTCGATTCCTGATCAGAATATTGATGAAATGCTTGCATTCTCCTTTAAATGTTCTCTTTGTCCTTTAAAATTCCTCACAGTGCACGCGTAAATACTTTTCCCGCCAAAATTAAAGAATCACAGTCAACCGTGATGCTTCGTGTGCTATGTAAATGTTTACATATACGGGGAGGTAATAAAAGTGTTGTCTTCGAAAATAGTCATACACTAAAAATGATATACATTACTTTATTATGAACAAAAAAACTTTAATACACTAGAGAGTTTAAGCTTCGTGTTATACATCAAACGGCAAACACCAATCATATGCAGAAACATTTTACGGTATCAGGCAATAAAAAGGTAATGAACTTGCTGTTTTAATTAAAACTGAAATGCATAATTATTCTTTCGGCGCAAGAAAGAAAATATGAAACGAAAACGTTCAACGACAATTTTGCCCAGAATCTTCGAACCTGCCGTTTGCCGTTCCCGGAAACATGAAGCTTAAACTCCCTATTTACTCGCTGGTGTTTTGATGAAATCCTGATTACTGCCCCACCGACTGCTACGTTCACTCAGTTCGTCCATGCTTTGATGGAGCAGGATTTCGGCGAATTCGCTATGCAAAAGCCCTCGTGTTCCTGTAGTATAGAAAGTGGGGGTTCTGGACCGAGTGGATCGGGTGGATCATCTGATCCACCCATAGCATCATCAGGATATAATTTCATATCAATTACACTCGCTTATAATGTCATGAAGGCGACAATGACCATAATTGCATTCTGTTATAACAAAACGTCGCACGTTTACTATTTTACTAATGTGTCCCTGCGGGACTTTTTGATGTCCCGAAACGGAATAAATACTTTAGTTCTTGCGCTTATAGCATTATTCCCATATGTTCAGCATTTTATTCACCAACGTGGTATTTCATCATTAATCTAATAATTGTTGAAACAGAACAACTCAGGTTTAACCATAATTTTGAGGGGAGAGAATAAACTGTGACGGTTTCTATATAATAACAGTTGTTAAAATGGTCCGGAGGGTCTTTTTTATAGCCCGATTCCCTAAATAAATTCCCCATCTTCAGGGCTCAGGGACCCCTCCCACCCAATTGTAACCGCCCTCCACCATCATGAACTGTATACACTACAGTTCAGTTTCTTTAGAATTCCCGCAAGAAAATAGAAAGGAAAATAGAAATTGAGCATAAAAAGTGTATTTGAATTCATCACATTACATCATTAAATTACATCATCTTAAAATCTCTTTTGACACCATCCTTGTTTCTCCACCATATGTGAGATTTGCAAAATAATTTATTTGCTAATTATATAATGTCCATGGGCTAATGTGCTAACACCGTCTTCTAAAATGAAACGTTTATCATCATGTGGACTTAAAGCAATCTTCTTCAATCTGATGGAGAAGACCTGACTTCGAATCTGATTCATTGACGCTTTTGTCTGCTTCTTATCGAATAAGCAGGTTTTATAATTATTATGTCTTATCTTCTATTTGGTCGCCGTCTTCTTTATCCCTTAAAAAATTGAACTGAAACCGCGAAAGGATCAAAAGCATGATATGTCCCAATTTCTGCGTGGTAAATCCAAATCGATTCTTATTCATCCTTCGAAAGAGCTGGAAATGAATAAAGGATTGAAATGGCTGATCGGTGTGAAAGCGAGATTTGTCAAACCCAAAGAGGACGGTGAAGATCTATTCAGTGAACCACATTTCCGCAGTCTGTGTACTACAACGGTTAATGCTCACAATATGGAGAAACAACTACAAGCAGCTTGCAGTAAAATTATGGATTCCTTGGCGATATATCAAAAAGAAGGAAGTGGTTGGATCCTAAATGAAATACTTCATTTAGACCTCAACATGGCGAAATACACGCCACTCAAAGGGGCCAGTCATATTCCTCTACTGAAAAAGTTGAAGACTAAGAAAGTGATCATCAATATCAAGAATTCTGACAACAAGTATTTTATCAGAGGAGGTTGGACAGCCAATTAGGCGAACATCTCGACCAATCAGATTGCGCCATTTTCCTCATGCTCGCACGAAGCTTTTAGCATCGAAAATTTACATAGGGCTCATAAATATCGATTTTTTTATATTGTTATGCAAATGTTTTGGTTAATTTTACGCGATACTACGTTTCCAACAGTCAATCTACCCATTGGAACGGTATCTTAAAAGGTAAGCGTCATTTCCAGTTTATTTTGACCTCTCACTTAAGCGCTATGCCGTCGCGATGTAATTTAATGGCGTTTCTGTCAACAATCTTTGAAGACAAAAATCTCAAATCTCCATTGTTCGATTTCGCTATTTTTTTCACGATTAGTTTAATAAAAGTATAATCTTTAATTCTAGCCAGCCGGCCCCCCTCGGCCTCTCAACCGTTTTCGAGATATCCACCGTTGAATATAGCCCTTTGTAAAATATGCTGCCTTGTCACTCAGATCGATAATGAACTGCTATTACTAGCTTTTTTCTAAAGAAATTTGATATACTATAGAAGTTTCGATATATTATGGATTTATATATATTGGTTAATAAAGTATGTAAATAATTAAAGCACTTCTGTAGCAATATTTTACTTGGTGAAATTCATTGTTTGGTTGATGTTTTAGATTTGAGATTCGTGATTTTGGCTATAGTGGATTCTATTTTTGTCAATGATTTCGTCTGCAAGAATTTAGCATCATCATTAAATTTGGAGTTCTAAATTTGTTCACCTCTCTGGTAATGTTACTGATATGATGACTTGACATGACTTCTGGATTTTCAAAACTAACCCCGTGACAACAAGAATAACTATTCATCCACCTGTTTCAAAAATGTCTGGTAAAACTTAATCCTGGTTTAGATGCTAAGTTTGTCACTCATCCCACTTGTTGCCAAGGCTATGTCTGTACTTCATGCTGGTAAAAAAGACAATCTAATTTATAACGCTGTTTGATGCTTTGGAGAACAACGCCATGGAGATGTTGGTCCAATAATGCCATTGGATAGAATGCTCTTTATAGCAGTGAAGGACCACTTAGCCTTTTTTAACAGTATTTTTTATAAATGCTGTTACACAACTAATTCAGATAAAGTTTGAGATATGGTGGTTCTTATGCACCTATCAATGTTAAGCCCCAGAGAGGAGGGGTCAGACATATGTGAGGCATTTGATTTTTGATCAAATTGTCAATCAAATGCCCCACTGTTGGGCAATATATAAATATTGGGCCTAACTTGGGCCCAAATGCTAATCCATAGTTAACTATGGCTAATCAAAATCCCTCGGGTGGAGATGTAATTAATGATCAAATACGCCATATATGCCCCCCCCCCCCTCTGGGAGTTAACATTGATAGGTGCATTTATATGCAGGGTTTCTTTGTATTCTTATTTAATGTGCTTTAATTAAAGTATCAGCAGCATGTTATTGTGTAGCCTGCGAACAGGCCCTGGGTTGCGGGCGGCGCGAAGAATAGAGGGCCTGCACGGAACTATAGGTTTTCTTGGTAGTGGCGTTCGTATAGAAACGCAGGCTTCTTATTGGCTTACACTCGTTGACAAAATTACTAAAAATAGCAAATGTCAACAACAGCATTTTGAAGAATTTGAACTTTGTTCATTTTAATATTATATATTATAG